CCAGTTTTCTGCCTATATCATCAGAGATTTCAGCCATGTGCACCTTGGCATGCTCGCCTTGAATTGAGCTTGAGGTCTGAGACGTTGCTACTACCGAGCAATCGTCATCCTCATCATCAAAAATGGAGGCTAACTGCCTGCAGTCAAGCGGTATGACAACCCTTTTTTTAGTCCGGGTATGCTGGTAGACACCATCAGACTTAATGAAAGGCTTTTCAGTCCTGGTGAGAATTCAGGATCTGAAGGATCTGAATTCTTTGTCTTGGATTTTCCTATCACATTGACGGTCACAGCTGGGAGATCCAAGTCGTCAGAAGCTTGTCTCCTCTGACGATTGCGTCTTCGGCGAGGTCTTGTCTCTGGTGGTTGCTGAGAGTCTCTCAAACACCGATGGTTTCGGCGTTCCGGTACACCGACAGTCAGCGAGCACTGCTGTAATAAGCCTCTCGCAATGGCACTGACGAGTTGCCTCATGAATAGTACGATTGCGAGTCAAACGCTCGCTAAGATCCCCTATAGGTTAATGATAACAACCTCCAGCGTCAGAAGGATGAGTTGAGCATTTATGCGAAGAAGGCTCACAAGAACAATTGGAAGACCACTTGGAAAAATCACCGAGTGTTGATTTCTGGCAAGCTCGTCTTGACAGGCGAGGCTGCCTAGTCTGGCGAGGTTCAGCCACTCATTCATTCAAGCGAGGTTCGCCTGTCCGGCGAACTATTGCTTCGCTTTTCTGGCGACAGCTCGCTTGCATGCAAGGTTGCGTAGTCAGGCAAGCCTGGTGAGGTTCGCCTGCATAATGACATTCGCCTGTAATACGAAGTCCGCCTGATGTGCTTACTTCGCTAGATTTGCGAAGTTCGCCAGTATTGGGAACTTGAAAACGAAGTCCGTCTGAATTGTTGGGTTCGTCAGATTTGGACAGTTCGTCAGGTTTGAGAACTTCGTCAGTAAAGTGAAGTTCGCCTGAACCACTGAGTTCACTAGTTCTGGGAACTTGGTGTAGTTCGTCAGAACTGAGAACTTTGCGTTCATTGTTGGCTCTTTTTAGGCTTGAATAGTAATTCAGGCCATCATAGGAGATGAGGGCACGTGCTTCGTGGCGAGCGAGAGCTTATCGTCGTCGTTGCTTGGCCATTTTTAAGAGAGGAGCGTTCATGTCAACGGCGAAGGGGTGATCTGCACCGAGACGAATTATCGTCTCCTCGGGAATAGGAGCTTGAGTGGGTTGCGTGACAACCCCTCGAGCAACTCCTTGGCTTGCATTCTTGGCCTTTTGATCGGCCTTAATTGGCTTCGGGGAATTAGAACCCCCATTGATTGCTCAGGTAGAGCTTTCAAGCGTAGTAGCCTTAGTTGGTTAGGGCTGAGCCACATGCACAACCTTACGGCACTTGCGTGATGCCTTACCGCCAGAAGAAGCCGAAGATAAGTATTCTTCGTACTTCGCTTGATCAAACTCTACGATAAGGGACTCAACAGTCATCCCTGCAACGATCTCGTCAAATTGCGCCACCATCATTTCGTCTGAAAGAATGGTTCCTCCCACTGTAGTCGTCATCTTCTGTAGGATGTAAAATGGATCTCAAGTATTTGTATTAATTGAATTATTTATTGCAAATCGAAATCGACTTTACACAAAAGCGAAGAGAATGAATTTAATCTCTCCTTGTTTAACGTGGGTTCTTAGTAGCGATAGGATGTCTCGTTTGATGCTCGTGTCGAGTTTGCTTCCCTTTGACGATTTGAATGAGATTGTGAATCAAACTTCAGCGCGTAGTAGAAGTTTGGTAGAAGAGTTCGATCACACGAGCTTTAGAATTAAGGCCGAATGCAAAGAAAATGCAATGTTCGGTTCTTCTATCTCCAAGAAGTCTGATTGCCAATAGTCAAGAGCCAAGAGTCCGAAGATCTAGATCTCAAAAAGCCAAGGTCCTCTTCTCTGTAGCCGAATATGGCTATTTATAGGGAAAGTTGGTTGTAACCAACCCCTTAGATCGTGGGAAGTGGACGTAACCACCTCCACAATTCAAGTGATTTTTAACCGCTCAGGCGAGCTAGGCGAGCTAGTAGACGAGCTTGCAGGCTAAGTTGGCGAGCCTGGAGAGCTTTCAGGCGAGGTTGGCGAGCCTGGCGAGGTTGCATGGAAGTTGGCAAACAGGCGAGGTTGACAGGCGAACCCCCTCCTTAAGCGTTCAGGCGAGCTTAAACCATGTTGGTGAGCTTGGATCGTGCGGGCGAACCTCCTACAGGCGAGCTTGGCTTACGCAGGCGAGCTAAGCATTCAAGCAAGCTTAACTCGTGCGGGCGAGCTTAGATAACTCGCGAGCTAGCGAACTGGGCATTCAGGCAAGCTCAGTTCTTTTTAGGCGAAGCCCAATGTTCAGGCGAACTTCGTTTCGCCTGCGAAGTCCAGCATTTAGCCAAACTTGACTTGGCTTGATTCAGGCGAACCCTAATCTTGCAGGCGAAGTTCAGGCGTCGAGGAACATAACTTGCTGTGAAAAACGGGTCATAATTTTTCAAACCGTAAGTCAAAATTAGACGAATTATATGTGAAAATCGACTATCTCAACGAGATGGTGCCGACCAAACCCATCAAAGTTTGGTTTGCCGCTGTCCGTTTTGTCAAATTCCCTCCGATTTGAGAGATATCAGTGTTTTTGTCCGTTTTTTTACTATTTTTGGTAATGTTCTTGCAGACGAACTTTTGAATTTCTCTATTAAAGATAAATGCAATTTTATTTGCTTACAAACCCAAGCATATTCCTTAAAAAGGATAAAATATTTTTATGACCTAGGGTTATAATGTCCTGATTATATGATTGTTAACGATCTGTGGAACAGTATCTGTGCTCAAGAGAAAAAGCAAATCAGAGTATATATGACTCATCTAGTCCATCTTCTAAAAGAAAAGGATGAGAAATATATTAAACAAAATAATCAGTTATAAAAGAGAATTATAGATCTTTCATATGAGATTAATTATCTTTATCCTTATTCTAATAAGGTTGCTTTAACATCTAATGAGATGTTTCAAATTCTTAGAATACCAGAATATATTCAACAAAATATCTATAGAGAGCGTCTAAACATAGAGCAATTATGGTCCAAACTAAATATTCTACCTCAAGACATTCAAAATGTTATTAAGGCAAAAGTTGAAGAGGATAATATCGTTTTCCTTCTAAACGATCACAAAGAATTTACACTGCTTACAACATGTAACTCTCCCAAATTTGCAGTAAATTTTTATGAAATTCCTCTTTATATACCTCACATAGAAGCAAGAAATGTTTGTGAGATAAGAATTACAAGAGTGCCCCCATTTTTCTACAATCCAATGCGGTTTAAAGGTTTGTCAGCCATTGTCAAGATTGTCATCTTCCTATCTCCAACAAGTCTGGAGCATCTTCAATTCAATATCATGTCTACGTTACATGAAAGAAGCGGTTCTGAATATTTTCCAAATTTACAAATTTTAGAAATTTCTACAAACACCAAGCTCTATACTCATAATCAATTTCGTGAAGAATGCTATGATTTAAGGTTGGATCACTTTCAGAACACCATCTGGTTCCATAAAAAGCTTGAGTATCTAATTGAAGATTAATCGTATTATATAAAAGATGGACTTTGAATTATCTGCACTAACATTAAGATTTGAGAAATTTCTCAGACAAAAGCAGCCAAAGCAATCATCGAACAATGGACGACTAATCCACAAATTGGCCCAGAAACAAATAAAGATTATGATGTTTTCATAGCAGTAAAACACTACCAAGAGAATGAACTCCGTCAAGAAGAGGAACCCCCCACTCTTCGAATGATATATCAATTGACAGTGACTTGGCAGAAGAAATAACACATACATGGGAAAATATGTGAACTACCATTAACTTATGGTAAAACTTTACATATGATTAATTTTAACGACTTAAAAATCAAGTCGAATCAACTTTTGCCAATATATTTTCATAGTTCAAAAGTATTTTTAACTCTTATACAATTTTCACAGCTAAACAAAAGCAGCAATCTACAGATGCAATGACAGCTGATATAACCGCATACAATATGTTATATTGGATTCTCACTCTTTGGATACTTAAGCATGAAGATATTTTGTCAAAAAGGCTACTCTACAACCTAATTTCTTGTAGGTTTGACAAATTTGCTCAAGTGGATCCCACAAGTCATGACAAGCATCTTGGAATAGTATTTTAAAAACTCTATAAAAGAGGTAGAAGCTCATGAAGAAAGGGGAGGCTTTTTGGAGAGTGAAGTGAGATCCTCTTTAGAATTCTTCTTGTTTTCTCTTTTAGTTTTTAAGTTTGAAGTATAAGTTTGAGTTTGGGTGAGGTTTGCTTTTAAGTTTTGTTTTGAGTGTTTGTAAGATAAGTGTGTACTAGTACTACTAGTTCGGTGCTAAGCAGTTAATCACCCAACTCCTAGTTTGTAAGTTTTTAAGTTTGCTTTCCGTCAAGTACATAAGTGTGTCTCTTGTTAATACTACTATTTAGTTTGCTTTGAAGTTCTTCATTTTGTTTCAGCTACCGTTGCATATTCTTTTGCTTCCGTCTTTACTGTTTTACTGTTTTTCTTTTTGATATACAAGTGAACAAAGAAGAAGATATAGCTATAAACAGTATCTATATCCTCTTCTCCGTCTACACAGTATTCCCCACGAGCTAGCTCTATCGTACCAAGGCTAAAACAATCCTAGTCACGATTGGTATACATACATACGTACATACGTACGTATGTATGTAACGTAAGAATGTTATCCTAATAATAAAAGATAGCAGGTATATCAAAAATGAAAGAGAATAAGTAACAAAAGAAGCTATTTCTATTCTGGATATGAAGTAATACGCAGAACTTCACAGGAGAATATTCATAGCTGTTTGATAAATGCATATACCACCTAAGAACTGTGTGCTAAGTAGAAAATCATTTTTTACTGTTACTACACTAATTATGTCAAGATGAAATGCACATACCTGGATAATGCAATAGGCGAATAAATGCCATTGGATTATTCATTGCTCCAAGTTTCTCGAAGAACTGTTCATCAAGGTTTAAAGCCAGAGCGATCAAACTGACTAATACTTTGTCCACGGCCCTGAGGTAAAAGAACATTAATGGTACTCAATTGGTACCTTCTAAGCGTCTTGCAGAGTAATTAAACTTAATTGCGAGTTAAAGCAGAGATTTTTCATTTCCTTGTAGTCGTCAAATAGTTGAGGATAAAACAAACATATTAGCCGCAGACATACCTGCATAAGTTCGAGATTTGACCTGTACCATTTAAATGCTCAATAAAGAACATTAAATATTCAAGATTTTTCATAAGTTGTTAATGCATAAGGTAATTATGGATTTTTTTAAAGGCTCTTTTTACTGGTAATTACTTAATTTCCTCTACAACTAAGCCAGAGGATTTAACAAGTCAGTGATGAGTGTGAGTTGATCAGGTTACAAATCATCAATAAACAAGATAAATTTAGCTAGCTGATGAGAACTTAATCAGAAAGGTTACAAACTGTATGTTAGTGCATTACTTCTGCACCACATTTGTCTTACACCGTAGTATCCCAAGACGACAACATAAAGCATCAAACCACGTTTAGGCTTTCAGAAAGGCAATGGCATGTCAGAAAGGCAATGGCATGTCGTCAAACCTTTTCATACTTGATTGGATGTCTTTACTAAAATCCTTGCAAAAAATCATGCCTATTTTTTTATTCAAGGAAAGCTAATTGTGACATTTCTTTTTGAGATATAAGCATCTATACTGATTTCTCCAAACCATTCATAGAATTAGTGAATGGAAGAGTATGATATTTTAATCAATAAGATGAGCATAGCTTCATTTCGTATATTTGGCTCCCTCATAAACCTACGAATGCTAGTTGATTCAGTGGGCAATCTTCTATTTACTAAACCAACTTTAACTTGCTTATGGGAAAGGCTCATCTCACGGTTACCTGCAAGGTAGGCGAAGGACATCTCAGAATATCTGGGCACCACTTTCCCAAAAAAACTGAAGAACATAAGAAACACACTCCAAGATCATTTGTTCTCTTAACATAATTGGGAAGACTCAATTATAGAGCCCCATTACAGTCTATTACTATGGTCTTTGAGAATAAATCATATGCTAGATATCTTTAAGAATATGCTAAACATATTCTCAGCATGTTCCTCTATTCTCTAAATTATGTTCCTAACATCTCTCAATCACATATCTTAGTACATCCTTTCCTAATATACTAGTATATTTTGTAACACTTCCGCTCTACTTGACCATATATATTGTATATGCCGAGCTTGTTATACATGGGAACATAACAACTAGTTGAGAGAGCTTTCTAAACGTTATCTTTGCCCGAACTAGTTGAAGAAATCGTGTGTTTGTTTGCTCCAATTGAAAGCCATAGAAAAGATATAGATCTCACAAAGTAACAACCAGTAAATTGTAGTCACAGTCAGAATTATCGAGCATAAACAAGAATAAGAATAAATCAGACAGAACCACTGGCAAATCACCGCTTTTGTGATCTCTAGACAGCGAGCTAAGTAGACAACCAGCCAGAAATAAGAGACCCTCAATGAATATTAGAATCATGGTTCAGAAACCTCTAATAGTGGTTCAGAAACCTCTAATAGGGCCAGAACAATATGTTGGACCACCAAATAAGAGAAATTCTGGGTAGGTTTTAGCCATAAAAAGCAACAAACAGCCAAAACCAAAAATACTCTTCACGTGAATAGTACCTGTTAAGGAATATATTAATATATTAGGAAAGGTATATTAGGATGTCTGATTAAGAGAGATTAACGATATGATTAAGGAATAAAGGAATATGCTGAAAATATGTTTAGCATATTCCTAAAGATATGTAACACATATTTTATTCACAAGCACTATAATAAAAAACTATAAGGGGGCTCTATAGTTGAATCTCTGATTTACCCACTTTTATTCTTCAACATGGTATCAGAGCCTACTATTTTATCCTAGAGAATCTGTCCCCTTCTCTCTATACAATGGGGTCCCCATGGGGGATTTGTACCGCAAAAAAATGTCTGCGCTTCCCCCTGGCGGCTTCGGCAACTATTTCGGCTTCAACATCACTGATGATTTTGTTTTAATTCTGTTCAAATCTGTTGGCATCATAGATTCCTAATTACCAAACTTTAGTCAAAGCTTCTGCAAACTCAGATATCAACTCGTGACTTTATTTACTATTGCACATTTGAAGATTCAGGAAGATGGAGAATCATAATGAGAAGTGGGCTAAGTTGCACTAATAAGTTTCAAGGCTTTGCTCTCGAATGATGACGTGAATTCATGAGTCTAAGAGACAAAAGGGAGGATGTCTGGTGGAGTGCAGAGACTAACCAGAGACCAAGAGATGATGAGAGCAGCCAAGGAGATAATAACATATCCGCTATTGAACATTTTGAAGTATTTTCAGATGAGGAAGAGAGAAGCCAGCAAGGTTGCAGCCCCTAGTGGTGGTTGTCCTCTAGGAGACTATAACTGCAATAAGGAGACTGAGTAGACCAAGGTGATTGTCTTCAGTGGCATATAGTGATACTATCCGGGCCCTGGGATCTGGGACAGGAAGCAGCAAGCTTAAGTTGCGAAGGCATCTTTTGAGAGGAAATGAAATGGAGCTTGGAATTTTAAAAAGGGGTAATATTTTTTGGGGAGGAAGTTTATATATTCATGTTACATATATCCGTCAGGTTATAAATGTTGCCCACAACCCATTCAATAAATGAACCAAAGGTCATAGTAAACTCGATCAGTTTCACAAATGAAATATGAGTCGAACTATTTTCAATCCAAACTCATATAGGCCTAACTAATTCCATTGCTTTCAAGTCCGAAATAGGTTGGTTAATCCAGTTTTAGACCCCTTTTCAATATAACTTAAAAAGATTTTGGGATCTAAGTTCAATCATAAAGATTTGGGCATCAAAATGAAATTAGGGATAACATGGCGGTATTATATCAAAAAGAATCCAATGATTTTTGTCAAAAATAACAACCTACAAATGTTAAAACATGCATGTCTCAAAATGTTTACTACAATCATAAGGGACAACTTGCTATATAACCCTAACAGAAAATGGCACATGTTCCACAAACGATGAACTATTAAATTTGCCCCTTTTGCAAGGATCTGTCATTAGGTACCAAAGTTTAATGGCATAATCATAAGAAACAAGTCAACAACCATCACTTAATGGCATAATCATAAGAAACAAGTCAACAACCATCACTTAATGGCATAATCATAAGAAACAAGTCAACAACCATCACTTAATGGCATAATCATAAGAAACAAGTCAACAACCATCACTTAATGGCATAATCATAAGAAACAAGTCAACAACCATCACTGAGTATTCCCAAATAGGAGTCAGAATGCCAATTTTATGTAATGAAGACAATGGATCAAGAAAGTTGCAATTTCACAAAACGGCACCAGCTCTGCAAGACAGGAAGAAAAGTTGTAATTTCACATAATGGCACCAGCTCTGCAAGACTCGGAGTGTTGATAGAAACAAGATAACAACTTAAGGAGAAACTTGCAGAGTTTTTGAGGAAACTAGATGAAAACTTACAGGGCTTTTCCATGGTACATTTCCATTGTGGCTCTCCAACATGGCAATTTCTCTACAATTTCATAGCAAGCATCATTCAGATACATGAAAAAGCATCGAACTTAGGCTCAAAAGGTAAAGGAAAAACAAAAGACAGATTCAACGGTTGAGTTTGTGCTTGAGATGACAGCTCCCCAAAATGAAAACCAAATCCGCTACAAAATAGAGTTGGCGTTTCATACAAATAAGATAAAGAAATGATACCTTCTGAAGGCCATTGGTTTATATCAACTGATGAGTTGCTACTGGCAATAGGACCAATGTAAAAGCCCTCCTTCAAATCCCCTATTCCAATCAAACAAAACCTGATCAGATTAGCCTCCTTTCTGTTTACCAAGCAAGAGGTGGAAACAATGCAGGTTCATCATAATTTACAGTCTCCAGAAAGGAAATGTAAGAAATCAAACCTACAAAGAAATTTTTTTTAATTTTAATCTGTCTTTTGTTTATTTATTTATTTATTTTGGGGGGGGGGGGTTTGGATTATTAAAACTAGAAACCTACAAAGAAGAATTAAAACTAGAAAGTATAGATACTTTTTAAAAGGAAATTTTTTTTCTTCTTTACTTTTAAGCTAGGTTATCCGGACACTTCATCTAGGCTCCTAAATCTGTTTCCGACACTTCCCGTATCCGTGTCCATGTTGAACACTCCTTAGGCACTTCTTGAATATATACATACATTTATATAGACATGTACTCGATTATATAACACATTTTTAGCTTTAAAAACTCACGATACACTTCTTGAACGTATATTTTACACTTTACCTCAAATTTATGCCACTTTTTGAACTCGGGACAAGTTTGATTTAGCACATACATGGTTTATAAGTATGGTTTTAAAGGGTCGTTTGGGTATCTAGTTAAAAAATGAGTGGTTCTTCAATTTATAGTCTACTCGATAAAAGAAACATAAAAATGGAATACGGATTTTAGTTCTCATAACATGTGAACAAAAAACAATATCAATTAATTTCAATATGTATGTATATCGCCGTGTCTCCATGTCCTAATTTTTACAATTTTGCAGTGTCCTGTATCTACACCCACACCCGTATCCACGAAACATAGGTTTTAAGGGGGTAACATGAATATTCCCGATAATATGAGTTAAGGAATTACATGGTGTGCTGACAAAGAACTTAGTCATATGCTATGCACCGTAAAAGTTTTCTTTAAGAATAAAAGTTTTCAAAAGACATATTTCAATATAAGATTATATCAAAATAGTATACCTTTTCGAAATGGCATTTTAGTTTCATGATTTTCTTTGGTGAAAATGGTCAACCATATACATTCGCTGCCAAAATGAACCCTAATGAGGTGCCTGCTTTTCCTAGCTCTTATAAACTATAATTTGTAGACCAAAGATCCAAAGCACATTAGGCATCACCAATAGAGTATGTTAGTACACTGTCTTACTGTAAGCTACAAGGAAATCTTCGTCTTTAACTTCACATAGATGGAAAGTATTCATAGCTAAAATATATTTTTAAAACTTCTACTCGTTATAACCATATATTTAACCTTCATTAAACACTGATATTATGACAAAATTAACTGGTGCTAATCTACAACTCAAAATAGTTATAAATAGAAGTACACAAGCTTTCTGCTATCTAACTATAGCTCCCTAAATGCCTTTAGTGACCTCAAAAATATCTCTATGAAACACCTAGAAGACATTAAAAAACTTTTACAAGGCATCCTAGTGATATCTAAGTCATAGAAGAGGGCTTGTATCCCATCAACTGGTATTGTACAAGACTATTATGACTCAATGGTCAGTAGTCAATAAAAGAGACCAAATAGGTGCTTCCTGCTGCTTAAATACCCGTGTCTAGAAGAGGTCCTAGTACAACCTTTGTGCAAACTCTAGGGAAAGGGAATATGACAATAACTGGTAAGGCAATCTTGTATAGCAAGGGAAAGGAGTAAGGCACATATGTTCAATACCAAACTTATCCTTCAAAATATAAGATAATGATTCTTAAGAATAAAATATCTCATGTAAAGCCCTGTAAAAAAATGACACAGCCAAGAAGTATTAGTCTACTAGCTGCTAGCATTCTTTTACATTGTGTCTTAAATAGCACAGCTCCTTTAAATTTGTCAATAAGGAATACTAAACTGCTTCATAACTTCAATCATTATTAAATCTGAGATTCAAAGGTCATTATTCTAGGTGATCAACAATGATAACAACCAATTTTTTAAAAGTGAAAGGCGAGGTGAATACGATGACGTCCAATGTTGTCTGAGGCAAGAGATGCCAAACGCAAGTGAACCAACGCTATAAAAATTAAAATTTCATGAAAACTTTACAAATAACATGTAATTATACATAAATCACAACAGCACAAATTAATCACAGCCGAATTTTACAAGTCACAAATTATGATATTTAACAAGTCATAAACCAGCTAAATAAAGTAGTAAGAATTATTGAATAGTAATTACTAACTAGTAAGTAGTAACATAGACAATTAATCAGCAAACTTTAAACTTTTAAGGTTCAAATTGTGGCATGTCCTCAAAATGATATAGGTAATAAGGTACACTACAACAAGAGAAAAAAGAAAAAAAAATCAGCAAAGAGAAAAGAAGAAAATTTAAAAACAAAAACAAACTACATTTCAAAACAAAGGCAGACACCTTTCATGCCTTGTCGCACATGTCTTAAGCGAGTGCCAAAGGCAGCAAGGCAAGCTCTTGAGGTGTCAAAAGAGATTTAGTAAGACAACTAGAGCAAGAGATTCAGTAAGACAAATAGCGCATTAAATTGTTGATATCGAACTCATCGATATAGTAAGACAACTAAGGATGTGCCTTAAACACCAAGCCCTCGTCTCCCTCAACTACAACTCCAGGACCCAATTTCACAGAGCACGTAATAAAATACAGAGGAGAAAGGAATAAAAAAGTATTAAATATGTGTGACACGCAATCTCCAAGAACTAGCACAATGAACTATCATCAAATATGAAGTAAATTCAACATTAAAGAAAAATTAAAGAAATGAAACCTTTATTTTTGGAAGAAGGATTAAAGCTACAAAGAATAACTAAAACCCAAAAACATGGACACTTTTTAAAGGAAAAAAAACAGTTCCCTTCTTTGGTATGAATGGGGTAACATGAAGACTCTGGATGATGGGAGATAAGGAATGCCTTAGTGAGCTTTACAAAGAACTTAGCCAACACACCATAAATAATTAATGTTTCTTTAAGAACAAATTTTAACAGAAATCTTTTAATATAAGTATATATATCAAAACAACTTAGACATTTTCCAAACAGCATTTTAGATTCATGATTTTCTTTAGTGACAATGATCAACCACCTACACTCGCTACCAAAATGAACCCTTATGAAGAGCCTGATCTTCTTATAGTTTATAGTCCAAATATTCCAAACATATTAGATACCAACATACCACCAATATAGTATACCACTACACTTAATTAGTGTAAGTTTCTCCTTTGCATTAGGAAAACATCATCTTTACCTTCAAATAGATGGAAGTTCTTCCTAGCAAAAAGATCTCTTTAACAATTATACTCATTTGTAACCATTATTATGTTCAGCTTATTTCCACACTGGTTTCATGACAAAGTTAACTAGCCCAAATGCCCAAATTGACAACGCAAAATAAATTACAAATAGAACTACACAGGCTTCCGCAACCTAAACTATAGCTTACCTAAATTCCTTTAGTGACCTCAAAAACATCCCTGTGAAACTCGTACTGTTTTTAATCTTAAGCAGATTTGCTAAATACCTATCTCATTCCTTCGATATGTTTATGGCTTATTTCAATTATGTATATTTTGTTTCATTTATTCATATTTATTTGCTGTTTGTAATGTTTTCCTATTTTTGGGCTTTTTAGACCAAGATTTTGTGTGAAATACTCTGGGTTCCCTTCATTTAGATTGATTCTTCCTCTTCCTCTTCCTCTTCTTGAAAAGAACTCACACTTGAGAAAACCCCTATGCAAACAGGGAAAATTGCAACATAGGTATTATTTTGTGAGTGATTTGTTTCAAATCATCTGTCATACTGTTCACAGTATCCAGACTTCAAATAATATTTCAACCATGCGTTCCACGAGGAAAAACCAGTCAAATGCTAAAGGGATAACCAAGGGCGAAGACCAAGGCATGTGTGTTGAATAGCAAACTACTAGGGGTGCTAAACCGTATTCGTATCCGAGTAAATATCTGTAACCGTATCTGTTAGGATACGGATATAGTTACTCAACTCTATAACCAATAGGATAGATATGGTTTTGTAGTGAAATGTCTGTGTCAGTATCTAAAATAACTGAATACATATTAGTCATACTCTTACGATAGTATCGATTCTTAGATTATAGATTTGTGGTTAATTTTGATGACTAAGATGTCTAATCTTTGCTTTTTAGTTATAATGAACATACTAACGAACTCTTTTGTATCATATGAACTATATTTTTCTCAATACTATCTAGTTTTCTCATATCCGTTTTGTATCTGCATGAATATTCGCATCTATATCCGTAACCGTATCCGATTTTAACAGATATGGATATGAATTTTCTTTACCGAGGTATATCTGTATCCGTATCCGAGATGGATAAGCGGATATGGATATGATAAGCATCATATCCGAGCCGTATCCAGACCGAATGCACCCCTACAAACTACTCTAGTGGGAAATGATTAGTACAAATATTAAACCATATAATATCTGACAGAAAATGTTATTACAGTAACCCTCAGTTAACCCTTATTTCAGTGCAGCCGAAATGTAGAGTGAACACAATCCCTCATCTCTCTCAACATCAATTCATGGGCAAATATACAAGAAATCCCCTTAAAAATAAGCTTAATGTCAGAAAACCTGCCTTAACTTTGGATGATTAATATCAGAAAAACTCTCATAACTTTCAAAATATCCACACAAAAAAAACTTAAGTTTAGGGGTCATCAGAAAACTCGTTTAACTAAGATTTTATCAGAAAATTCCCCTAAAAGTATGAACCGCAATTTTGTCTTGGAAAAAGCACTCCCCCAAGAATTTTACACACCCATATGAAAATTTCTGATTAATGCTGTTTAGCAGAAGTTTATTAAACCTTAAAGTTACAGGGTGTTTTCTAATAATCTCTAAACTTAAGTGGAGTTTTCTGAAATGTATGGGAGGTTTTATGCGAAATGTCCAAAGTTAAGGGACCCTTCTGATATTAAAGCCTTAAAATAGGGGTGGAAATGAAAATTAATTGTTCCGTTATTATCCGTCC